TTTTTTTTTTTTTTTTTTTTTTTGTGGAAATCTATGATAATCCAGGGCAAGGGTATGGACAAACTACCCAAAACAGAAAAATTAGAGCTGGAAAACGTATCCTTCCTTTCTTTCTTTCCCATCTTGAGGAAGCAATGAAAATTAAAACAAGCTAAAACGAAAGTTTTAAGAAGGTACCTCACGAGGGTTGCGGCGGAATCGGAAGTTGTGTGCAGCTTAGCAGCATTATCGGGCGAGCTGAGTCCAAAATCCTCACTCTGGAGTTTAATGGGAGGAGACACATTAGCCAAAGAGGTCGAAGAAGAGGATGATCCAAAAGAAGAATTGGTCTCCAAGATCATGGATTCCGGCAATGAAACACCCCCATTACCCAAATCTGTAATACCCTTAGCTTCATTCTCTCCAATCACCCCCTCCGCATCAAACCCCACCAAGCAATTCTGCCCCTTTTGCAAAATCTTCGCACCCTTAAGCGCATCGACGAACCAGGCCTCAGTCTTGGGATGATGAATAACATTACGGGCCTTCTCGGGCTCGGGGAAAAAGACGAAGAGCCTAATGCGAGAGGAGGTGGAGGTGAGGCGGAGGTGCTCGCAGAGCATGAAGTGAAGGTCGTCATCGGAGGAGAGGGAGATGAGAGAGTCAAGGGCAGAGTGAGGGAGCTGATACTTCAGGGAAAAGGGAGGTTTAATTGGGAGGATCGTGAGAAGATGAGAAATGAAGGCGGAAAGAGTGTTGACGGAGGTTATGTCAACGGAGATTATGCGTGTTTCGCCGCCTAAATAGGAGAGAGCCTTTGTGCGCGGGCGCGGGGTTATGTGGCCGCCGTAGCTGCACATCAAACGAAGCTTGGAGGTGGCGGCGATGATGGTAGATTGTGGCGGTGGTGGGTCCATTTGGGTTTCTGAGATCGGGGGGAATTGCGCGTTGGCCAGAGCAGAGGGAGTGTACGGGAAGATACTCAAACAGGGGACCCAAATGAAAGCAGCCTTCGCTTTGGATTTTTGCTTTATTTTACCCTTTGCGTTGGGGGGGGGGGGGTT